TGAGTTGATTGTGGTGGTGTTGGTTAGAAGCGTTACTTGTGGTATTGCTTATCGTGGTGGTGGTTGTTGCTCCTGTTGGGTGTTGGTGTTGTGGAGAGTTATTGCGTTGTGTGTGGTGGCTGCTCAGTCGTGTGATGGTTGGTGATCGGTGTGTGATGGTGAATACAATCACGTTATGTGGTGTTGGTAACCCTGGTGATGAGTGGTGTTGGTAGTATTGAAGTTCGCTGTGTGTGATTCATTTAAATGAGTAAGTTGATTAAATTATTATTCTAATTTCATTTTGTCTATGATTAACATTTGTTTTGCATAAACATGTGTTAACAAATTTTGCGTAAATGAGGTTAAAAATAAATTTTTTGCCTAAATTAGGTTAAAAAGATTTGTATGCGGATAACAAATACTTGGACGATAGACAACAATTTTTATTAACAATTTGAACATACTTTTAGTTAAGAGAGTTTGATTAGTTATAAAAAAATTTAATTTAGGTCCATATAAAATATACAAAAATAGGGTTAAACATTATAGGATTTACATAAATAAAAAATATTAAATAAAAAAAATGGAATTAGCATTAATTAAATATTATATTATTTTAATTACAATTATAATTTAAATTATTAAATATTTTGTTTACATATTTTTAAATGATAGGATATATTTTTTAAAAGACTTGTAAAATGGCACATAAGAATGATTGATCAAAGTATTTTGTTAATGAAGATGTTGATAACGATATTTTTCGTGGGGAATTTGATTTAATTAAATGCATACAATAACAAATAAAACTTTGTATTGAAGTAGCAGTATTGACTATCATTTGCATTGTTGTTTATACACTAAATGTGTTATGTTTCTCAACTCCAAATATTTCAGAGTTTGTTTCCCAAGAAGAGCATCATCACCAAGAGTTATTGTCGTACTTAATGCACACAAAACAATTATGTGACATTATTCGATGGGACCTCAAACATTCATTACGTTATGCGAACGATTAAAGACAATTGAGTTAGTAAAATATGCATTTCGATTAACCGTAGAAGAATAAGTAGCTAAATTTCTTCACATTATTGGTCATAATGTGAAGAATAGAAGTGTCTCATTCTTTTTTTTTATCGTTCTGGGAAAACTGTTTTCGAACATTTTCATAATGTCTTGAATGTCATATTGATGTTAGAGACTGAATTCTTAATTTAACCATCTGGGACTGAAGTCCAACCTCATATTCTAAATAACAGTCGATTTTATTCTTACTTTAAGGTAATATAATCTGAATGCAATGTCAATTTAGGTACATAATGTATTTATTTTTGTTTATACTTGTAATTTTGTTGGCCTTTTAGGATTGTTTAGAGGTAATAGATGACACTCATGTACATGTTAGGACACTACAAGAAATATTAAAATTACCGACGGTCAAAATCTGTCGGTAAATGTGTTACGAAATTACCGACGGACTGAAATCCGTCAGTAATAATTATATTATTTATTAAAAAATTTACTTATTTAGGACTAAAGTCCAACCTCATATTCTAAATAATAGTCGATTTTATTCTTACTTTAAGGTAATATAATCCGAATGCAATGTCAATTTAGGTACATAATGTATTTGTTTTTGTTTATACTTGTAATTTTGTTGGCCTTTTAAGATTGTTTACGGCAATAGATGACACTCATGTACATGTTAGGACACTACAAGAAATATTAAAATTGCCGACGGTCAAAATCCGTCGGTAAATGTGTTACGAAATTACCGACAAATGTCATTGGCACAATTCGAACTCAAGTATCTTAAAGTTGGAGGCTAATGCTCCAACCACTAAGCTACTAGAACTTTTTGATAACAATTTACAAATAAATTATATTTATATACAAATATATTTTTATATTTTTTTATATATTTACATATTTATATATTTATATATTTATATATTTGTATATAATTAAATATTTATTTTTTAAAATTATTTAATTTAATAAATTATTATAAATTAATCTAATTATGATTAAATTAAATTATTAAATAAAAAATATTTTATTTTTTAATTAGGTGAATAATTAAATTATATTATATAATTTTACCGACGGATATATCCGATCGGTAAATAATTGTTAATTTACTGAGATGAATTTACCGACGAATATATCCGTCGGTAAATAATTGTTAATTCTACAGATGAATTTACCGACGGATATATCCGTCGGTAATTATTTGTTAATTTATTGACGGATATTTCCGTCGGTAAATTCATCTATAAATTATCGACGAATTTATCGACGAATATATCCATCGGTAACTAATTATTATTTTATTGACGGATATATCTGTCGGTAACATCAAATTCCACAAATATTTTATATCCGTCGGTAATTTTCAGTCGGTAATGATTATTTTTCGATGGCTATAAATCCGTCGATAAATATCCGTCGGTAATACGCGATTTTCTTGTAATGAGATTTCACAAGTAAATGTTCCACGTTATCGTGAAAGAAAAGATTGATCAACACAAAAGGTATTTGCAACATGTGATTTTGATATGAAGTTTACATATGTGTTAGCCGGGTGAGAGGAAACTGCATTTGATTCACGAATTTTAAAGGATATCCTTATTCAAGATGATCCATTCATTATTCCAAAATGTCCGTTGTAATGATTTGTGGTCACTTACAAGTAATTGAAATCATGTTAAGTATAATGATTGTAAGAAAATATTACCTTGGAGATGTTGACTCTACGTTAAAGTCAACGACGTGTGACAACATGGAAAGGTTAACCAAGAAGATGAAAATAATGACAATGAAGACCCTGCTATACCTGAAGATGATGCATGCAGTTGACCTTGGACAAGAAAGCTCTGTCCACAATGAACAAATTCAGTCGCATTCAGTACCCCATGATAGTCAAATGTTATCACAAATTTGAGGGGATTCAGGACATGAAAACAAGAATGCAGCGGATGAAAGATGATTTAGCTAATCTAAACCTAACTATTTGCACAAGTTTTGATAGGGTTCATGATATTAACCATTTGAAGGAGCGATTTGACAACTTTCAAGACTCTTTTCAATTGAAATGATGTCTTGATTTGCTTACTTCTATATTCATGTTTATTCTTATGTATGATCAGGACATTCTAACATTACACTTTCAATATTTGCTTTGTATTATTTTGTTGCCCATTTTTTTCCTATAATTTTATAATTTATTTTATCAAGTTTCATTCTTAATCACATACTTAAATCTAAATTAAATTTATATTTAATTAAAAAATTATTAATTTAAATTATAAATTTATTTCATTTAAACAAATTAAGTCTTTTTTTTCAAAATTATTTTCCAAGTCCATATTTGATTTTATAATAAATTCATATAATTAAATAATAATATATTTTAAATAATATATCATATCTAATTTTAACATTATTTACTTAACTTATATTTTATTCTCAAATATTTATTTAACCCAAGGGCAAAATAGTAATTTACCTATTTTATCAATTAAATCATAATTAAACAATTTTTATCTCATTTTCTCTCATTTCTAACTAATTTTCCCTTAGCTTGTGTTTGGATTCAACTGACAATTTGAGGTGATTTCAACATATTTGTAAGGTTGTTTAGATTCAGAGAAAAATAGTATATTTAAATGGATTTGAGTGAATTTATTGTAACTTATGTGATTGATATAATTAAATATAAGATAATTGAATAATAATATTTTTAGTGTAATGACTAAATTATTCTTGTGAGATGAAATGAATAAATTAAGTAAAAATTAAAATATGATAAATTGATAAATTAAGTAAATATATAGAAGCAAACAAAGTATAGAAAGAGAGTGGAAAATAAGGAGAAATTAGTAAAAATATTATAGAGTATAAGAATGATTTGATTATTTAAAAAAATCAAATAATTAAATAAATTATAAATGACTAAAATATTCTTATTATAAGTTTTAATAAGAAAAAAATATAAATTAATATTAAAATGAAATAATTATTTAAAAATAGATAAAAATAAAACTAGTTTTTATGTCAAAATATTTTATGATATAATTTTATTAAACAAATAAAATATATTTAAATGAAATTTGTTATCTAAATTGATAATGAATATTTTTTAAATCGAAAGATAAATAAGTTTTACTAATAATAAAATACAAATTAAAATAAAATTAGTTTAAATTATATATTATATATACATATATAAGAAAAAGATGAATATACAATTAAATTATTTTTTTAAAATTATTTTTAATAATAAATAAGATTTATTATGTATTTAAACATTAATTATGTGTAGTACCATGATTAATCCATTATGGTTAAGTAATTAATTGATTATTCAACAGATTTTGAAAAAAAAAAAAATCACGTGAGAATGAAATGAAAATCATAAGGTTAAAATAGTATTTTTTTTTTTTTAATTTTCAACTGACTTTCTAACCATTTCATCTAGAGGAGAAGAGATTAAATGAGTGTGTATTTTCATAAACTTTCTCTACAAATTAGTGCAAATAAACTTTATCTACAAATGAGTGCAAATCAATAGACAAATATAATAATCCTTTAATCCAAATACAGCCTTAAAGTATACTTAGGGTATCTGATATGGTTCAGAGAATTCGAATTGGAAAAGTTCAACTGGGGTAATTGTTATAAGTGACCAAAAAATATAGTTTAGAAGAATTGACCTTAAACTAAAAAGACAAGAGTTGACCATAAACTGATTTGTTTACTAGAATGGGAGACAATACGACACTCGATATGTGTCTTGGGACTGACGCTGAATCAAGAATTTTCTTCATAGAACAAGTCCTTCTTATTTTCGTAGATTCTTTTTTTATAATGTTTAGTTTACCGTGAGTCAACTAATCAAACCAAGAGTGGAACAGGGAGAGCTAAAGTACCATAAATACACAATCCCAAGAGCAAAAACCACCACAAATAGGTTTTCTTTCCTCAAACACTTGAATTTGGTGCAAATCATTTCCAGCATGAAGGTAAGATCTTGATGAATTGCGTATGATTGTGTATACATGTTCTTGAATAATGCATGGCTTATATTATTGAAGTTTGATTATTTGGCATTGGTGTAGCAAAAGATAGTTATAAGGGTGAGTCTGGACTGTGACAAATGCAGAACCAAGGCCCTCAAAATTGCAGCAGAGGCAAAAGGTTATTTTCTTGGATTAAAACATCTAGGCTTATTGTTATGCTGCCCGTTAACATATATATGATATAATATATTTTCTAACAATGATTTGGGTTATAATTAGTAAAGATATTATAAAATACATGTCTTAAAAAATGGATGTATTAGTGGAAATAACTACGACTTAGAACAAAATATCAAAGTTCATAAAGTAATTTAGACAAAATGATATATTTTTTTTGTGTGTGTATGTTTTCTCTCTTAATACATAGCATGGTGATATAACTAATAGTTAAACAATAATATTACATAAATTATTGTATATGTGTATGTATCTGCATATATATATATATATATATATATATATATAGAGAGAGAGAGAGAGAGAGAGATGTATTTGGTTAAGGTGTAATATGGTTAATTAGAAGAATGGATGCACATGCAGGTGTGAGTTCAGTGGCGTTAGAAGGAGATTATAAAGATAAAGTGGCAGTGACTGGAATTATGGTGGATTCAGTGCGCTTGGTTAAGACGTTGAGGAAGAAATTTGGACGTGGCAATGCCAACATCGTGAGTGTGGAAGAACTCAAAGACAAGAAAAAAGAAGAAGAAAAGATAGCACCAGTTATATGGTCTTCATATCCATATCCACCACCCTATCCCCCAACCCTCGCACATGAACATGAATATGGTAACTTCTGCATCCTCATGTGATGTCACAATTCTCATCGTTGTATTCTATCTCTTCTTCTCAATATTCCTTCACCTACACCTACTCATACTGTATCTCTTTCGTCCATTACCTATATATAATATCACGTATCTGCATGACACAGTATAATCTGCAATATTGATGATTCATTTCTTTATCATACACTAATACTAGTTATTTTCTTTAGATGAAGTATATAAAAACCAAGTAAACCCTCGTTCCCATGTGTTCCTTTTACCAGATAATTCTGTGAACATTATTATAGATAGATGATGACATTGTTAATTCCTTCAAAAATGAAAAATAGGAAGAAATGGAAGATTTGGTTTTTGAAAATTAAAACTCCAAGTCTTCGTTTACATGTCTACATCGTATTAAATATTGATAGCTAATTTTTAATCCGTAGTGTTATTATTATTATTTTAGTTGCCCAGTTTTAACGCAATGTCTCAAAATAATATCCCAGTTTTGTTTAATTTGACGTGTATTTTCCAAACCACGCTTCTATGAAAAGGTTATACTATAGTATGACTTTTCCTACTTCCACACCCTGTTATGTAACTAGTCATATTTCATATATCACCATCATCCAAATAAAAATTCATTGACTAAAACTGTATAGATTTTCCAAAAAATAAAATTCTGATCATAAAAAATATTTTTAGAAGCACATGTAGAATTAATTTTCCAATGTTAAAATGAAGTAGACAATTTTTATTATGGTGTTTGATTAATTAACTATTAGTCATTGTTGTAATTTAATCAATGATTTCAAATTTTAATTATTTAATCAGAATATTTATTTATTTTTATTTATTAAAATTTAATATATATATATATATATATATATTAAAATATAAATATTTATTTATAAAATTATGAACTATTTGAGACAAATAATGTGAAACAGAGTTTTAAAAAGATAAAATTTCAAGAAAACATTTACTTGAAGGAATAAGGAAGAAATGGTATTTTTATTTATTATTTTATATTAAAGAAAAAAATTAAGAGAAGTATAATTAAGAAATAGAGAAAAGAAAATATAAGGTAGATATAAATTGTTTTTTCACTATTTAATGACAAAAAAACAATTGTAAAAAAAATCTCTTTTATGTTATTAGTAAAAATGTATCCAATTTTTTATAATTAATTTAAAAAATAAATTTTATTTTATTTTCTCTCCACTTTTTAAATTAATCCATTTTTTATTATTTACATATAATATTTTTTCTCTCGTATATTTTACTAATTTTTTAAATATATAAATTATTTATAATTATTTTTTTAAACCATGATATTTTTTTCGATGAAAACAAAATTATAAGAAAATCTCTATTATATATAATTGTAGATTATAAATTATACTAAACAATATTTATTTTTAATAAAAAATAATATATATGGGGTTCGGAATATGTCCAATGGAGAAAATTCCTTCCTTTCCTTACACTTCAACAAACATTCTTGTCTTAACCTCTCGTTTTGCTTATTATGTCATTTTCTACGTTAAGAAACGTTTATTTAATAAGAGCGAGTAGAAAAAAATACAATAGTTCGTTGTTTATCGATTATAATTAATCTGTGTTATTTTATCTGATTTTACTTTTTATCACTTAATAATAGTTAATATATTTGAAATGTATGGTTTTTTTTTATTATTTAATTATGAATCATCATAGTTCAGTGTTTTACTCTTATAATAAAATCAAGTTATAGTTAACTATATCTGAATTTTTAAAATGAAAAAAAAAAATAGTGTTATATGCTAATAATAATGCAGATTCAAACTATCACTTTCTATAGATAGTTGGATTTTCCATTGAGTTGTCGGGTGTGTCATTTTCAATTGAAAAAGATACGAAAGAAAAAACAAAAAAAGAGAGGTAATTTTATTCAAAGGAAGAGTGTTGTGTAAATGAAATTGACATTTTTCTTTTGAATTAGACATTCTTAAAATTAGAAAAACAATGATACTATTGATATTTTATATTTTTAATTTGAACTCTTGGAATTTTAAATCATGATGTTTTTTTTTTTTTTATCAATCTTTCTATTTATGATTTTTTTTTCTTAATCTTATTTGTTTTGGGCTAAGAAACAATAAATGACACTAGAAGAACTCATATAGTTTAGAAAACAAAAGTAAAAAAAAAAAAATCAAATTAGGGATTATTAGATGAAATATTTATTTGTTTAATTCACATAATTCAAAATTTCTATGAAGCATTGTACACTAAAAACAATTTATCATTATTTTGTATAATAACTCTATCATATACAAACTGCTCGGGGCTATTAGGAATTGGGCTCAAGGAGATTAAAACTCTCGGGTTGCCTTGCCTTATTTATGGGCCTTTAGTGGGCCGTTGTTTTTCTCGCTACACAAACTGAACTACATCACCATTAAAATTAATGATAAATCACACAATTTATTTAAAATTTAGGAAAATTTGTATTTAAAAATTCAAAACACGGGCTGAAGCCTACTTTGTAATTGAAATTAAAAATCCATCTGTTGGGTATTAGCTTAAAGGAATTGGGCTGAGTAGTATGGCCCAAATCAATCAGCTGAATCAACTAGTCGAATTAGAGTAGAATTAGTATCTGGTGATTATGTACTTCAATATTCAAAACTCCTTCACTGTTTGGTCACTTTTCATGCAATTTTATCTTCTTCATTTACTGCATCAAACACTTGCTCAATTAGAACATATTCGGATTCAATCCAATACATGATGGTTTAATCATACATTCACATAAATATCAAATTTTTTCCCTTTGATGTATCATCAATTTGTCGGTTACAATATAAGACATTTCGAAATTGAAGAAGAAAAATAGTTAGAAAAGCATTGAGCTTTTTCTTCAAATAATATGCTAAAATATACATGAATCCATAGAGATGATGATTCCAGAAAAGAAACAGAATGGGGTAATTACATAAATAATAACAGCATTGCAACACAGAGAAATGATTATTAAATCAACACATGAATCCCAAGAAGGAGGTAATTACAAATATCAACCCTAATGAACGCTAATTTAAATATTAAAAGAAACAACAACAAATCCACAGAACATTAACAAGAACGAAACAGAACAAGAGAAGGATGAACTAGAACAATGGCGGTGGTGCATATCCGAGGAAGGGCCTTTTTCCGGCGGAGCCGCCGCAAGAATCGCAGTAACTGACAGTGTCTTTGATCTTGTGGAACCCATGCTTGAACACTCCGAACCCGAAGAGCATCCCGATGGTAATCACCACAAGAATCAAGCACACGCAAAGCATGCAAACTCTCCCCCCACAACACATCTTTCGGCAGTGATCCACGAACACACCAAAGATTAGGTCTTTTTATTTTGGGAATTTCGGATCTGGGAATTTCGGATGGGGATTCGATTGGGGAGAATTGTGAAGATAATGCGGAATTTAAAAGAAAAGGGAAACAAGATCGAGAAGCAGGAGAATGTTGGAAGGAGAGAAGTGTAAAAGTTGAGAAATGAATTCTGGATGCCAACGTTGGTGTCTCTGTCACGGCTTGAAGACGTTTGAGGCTTTGTTCGCTTATAAGAAAAGCTATCTAATCCATTCACAACAAGATTCCCTTCAAAAAAGAAAATTTTCTTTTTCTCAACTTTTTCGTTGCAACATCATGGCAGTGAGTGAAATCGATAATGCTGTCATTAATTAACGTGATATTTTTATAAGCTTAGAAGACATTTATTTAACCTGCTTAAAAGACCCCACTAATATAGATTAATTTGAATAGCTACACTTATAAAGTAAAATTATATTGGTATCCACTCAAAACAGCTGAATTTTTTTTTTTGCATAGCTATTTGTTAATAAAATATTTATAATTGTTTTATGAAATCATTAGCATTTATTTTAAAAATAGCATGGTTTATTATTATTTAAAGAAAAAATAGGGTTTTTGATTGAAAGCGTGAACGTTTTGTTGAGAAGTTTGATGGGAAACGCGGAAGGTGATGCGTTAAAGGAGAGTGGTGTAGTGGTTGAGTCCGTTGCAAGAAGAAGGTTGGGTTGGGTGATTGGTCCATTCTCAACTTCACCAATGATTGTGTTAATCCTGAAAGATACCACTCAACTTTTACTTATCCTTCTCCCCTCTTCAAATCATCAATTCTGGTATTCATTAACACCTTTTTATTATTATGTTGAAGCCCACAAAACATGGTTTGCTTAGTATAAAAAGAGCAATTTTTGTTGTAAAAAGTAGAGGTTGATGCAGCTCCTCACCCAAGAAAGAGGACGAACTGTTGTCCAGAATATATAACCTCAAATCATCTAAACACAAATCTATCCAAACCCAATTAATTGTACACGTTAAGAACCTATTCTTATCCTATTATTATCCCGTTGTTTATTAGCGGATCTAACATCCTAAATTAGTGGGATAATTTATCTTTTATATTAAGGAATATATTTGTACATTTTCAACTATATATATATATATAATACTTCTATAAATCTCTACTTCTTGAGATTCTCCATCTAAATTCAAAGACATGGTTAAATCTATACTATTAATTTCATGACACATAATCGTGTTTTTTTCTTAATATCAAATATTTGGGTAATGTAATTTTTTTTATTGTCAGATACAAATTGACCATTACTATAATAATTTAAATTTATCCAATAATTTCTCCTAAATAATATATTATAGTAGCTATGTTGATAAAAAAATATTATAGATGCTAGAACGAAAATTCATATAAGAAAAAGTCTGGAGAAATTCATGGAGAATAGATCTTTAGTTTATGTTAAATCGTTTAAAAATAAAATCCCCATTAAAATTCAAGTTAATTGGATTTTGGATAAATATTTTCACGAATTCGTTCTGACAAAAATAAACGAAAAATTAATTTTAACTAATTAATTTTATTATGTGATTTATATAAAATATAATAATGAATCTAAATATAATTTCATATATTTAAAATAAAATAAAAATTTACAATAACTACCTTAATAAATATGAATTAATAAAAAATAATTAAAATTCTGTCACTGACCATAATATTTTTCTTATATTAAATTATCAAAAATATATAATAAAAAAATAAAAAGATAAATTAAAAAAAAGTTAAAGAATAAAAATATTAAAAAATTGTATTTTTATTTATTTATTTTTGAAACAAAATTAATCACATTATGATTTATTTTATTAATTAAGAATGATAAATTTAAACTCTGTAAAAAAATTATCTGTAAAGTAAATTTCATAAATATATAAGAAAACTATAAATTAATAACTTAATATCTTGAACCATTTTTGTCTTTCAGCATGAATATGAGAAAATAGGTAAAAGTGAATTTTTTTATATTAATAATCTAGATTTATTTTCAAAATAGAAGAGTTTAATCCTTAAACACGAAAAAAATAAAAATCACATTAATAAAATATTATTAATCATACATGTAACAATTATTACATAAAAAACATATTTTTAAAAATTAAAATCACTTAAATTATATTATCTAACATAGCCAATTATATAATGAAAAATGATACTTTGACAACCCAAATCTATACAACTCAGTTAAAGAACTCTGTTTTAATATTATAATAATAGTTTTATTTTAGGGTGATGATCTTTTGACATCCAAAAGAACAAACAACCCAAAAAAACAACCCAATATATTAATATAATAATCATGAAAAAGTTTAAATAAAAATAAAAAATAGTTAAAATTATTATTATAATATAAAATGCAATTGTTTACAAGGTTGTTTGATGAATAGTGGTGTCAAAATATCTTTTTCCTTTATTTTATTTTTATTTTTATTAAATCAGTTTATAGATTATTATATTAATAAAAGTGAGTTGTTTAAAGAGTTGTACGGTTTCTGATTGTCAAAATATCACTCCTCTTATATAATAAACTGAATAAAATATCAAAATCATTTAATTTTAAAACATTAATATATGCTCTCATAACTCAAAAAATTAAAAAAGTAATAGTATATAATTAATACAATATTAAACCTCTCTAAAAAAAATTGCATCAGCCACAAAATCCCTAACGAAATAACCTATTTGTACACTGATGGCTCTGAAAATTCTAGCAGAAACATTCCGTGAGAGGAAAAAAAAAGGCTAAAAATAATTTACAGGATTTTTTTTTTCCGTTCTACATTTTTCTCTGTTCAAATTTTATTTTCTGAAGAACCCAAAAATGTGTTAACATGAAACATTCTTTTCTACCAGCACTGATCCGTTTCCCACTTGCGGGTTTGGTGGTACAACCCGGAGGAGCTATTCGGAGCCACCAAAGATGAGAATGAGCCACCACCGCCACGCGCTGACATCAACGACAGATCGTACACAGCTCTCGCAGACGGATCCGACAGCGTCTCGTACGCATCGTGGATCTCGATGAAGTCCCGTTGGTCCGATTCCGATCGCCGGAGCGCCGAATCAGGGTGGTAAACCTTCGCCAGGTTCCGGTAAGCAGATTTTATCTCGACCGCCGACGCGTTCTGCTTGATACGGAGAACTTCATAGAGGCTCGCCGGGCGGCGGGAATCTATCGTGGCCGTGAATGCCCGGATCATGGCGACCCTGGGTGGAGATCGGAGAGTGGTGGTGACAGCGGTAAGGGGCGTGAGATTTAGGGTTAATGACATTGGGATATTTTGCAAGGAGGGGTATAACGGGAATGAGAGTGTTGTGCTTGTAAGTGGACTAATTTGGCTTTGTATGCAGTGCGACGAAGAGAATTGAGATAGTTTTATACGACGGTCAAAGGTGGAGAAAGAGAAGGGTATATCGGTCATTTAAGCGGCACCTGGTATTGTATCGATGCACAACTGCAACTGCTCTTGGTTTTGCAAAAGCTTCTAGAAAGGTCCCACGTCGTCGCACCGTGTTAAGGAAAATGATATGCGTGTGGGGACGTGGAAAGCAAGAAAAAAATGAAAAAAAAAAAAGTAGAGGTGAAATTATTTTTAAAAGGGTAATAAAAAATTGATTTTTTTTATGACTCGAGAATCAACTTTGATTCATCCACGTGGAATAGTATAAAAGTGAAGCCTCCTAGGACTGAAATCATTACGTTGGATAATGATGTTTAAGATTGTATTTGAATTCAAGATTGTGCAATATTTTTATTTTAGTGCTTAATTCCCAAATGATCTCTGCGGTCATGCATTGTGGTTGCTGAAAGTTTTATGACCAATGCACATGACATTTTCATTGTATCACGTAAAAAAAAAAAAAAACTGAGTCTTGTGGTTGATGAACTCTCGAGTTGGCCTAAAGTACTCAATATAAGCATATGAATACTTAATAGTAGGTTAAAAGTTAAAAATAAAAGTAAAATATATGATGTATAACAAAATTTGACATATTAATAGTGAGTTTTTCTGACTTTATGTTCTGTGCGCACAGTAGCTGAGTTAGAAACTTGGAAGAATCACATTCCCAATTGTAGTGGGCACCATCACCATTATTGTATTATTATATGTTGCACAAACAATAGTCTAGTAAATCACAAATCCATCTTCTCATGTAATTCAGCGGATGAAGTTGAACGGAGAAAAAAAAAAAACATGTACCCTCCGAATAGGTATGAGTTCCTAAAACAAACAAAACAACCTCGTGTAATAATTGTCTGTTTTGAAAAGGAGAAAAAGGTGAAGGGAGATTCTATTTTTTCCACGACAAATTTGGTTTTAAACCTAATTTAATTCCACGTGTTGCATTTGTTAGGATAAATTCACACTGAATATGAGAATGAGAGGAGAAGCACTGTTCGTAGACACGTGAACGTGCGTGTCGAGAATGAGTGTGAAGAAGGTAACCATTCACCAAACTGTGGCATGATGTGGCAACTCCACACACGTTGCTACCACCCCACTTGACAACTCTTTTTCTTCTAACTCTTCTCTCACCTTCTCCATGCAAACTTTTGAAAAAACATTGTGTTTACTCAATACTCACTCATCATCATTCCCATAAATAGATAGCAGTTGCCCTAAAATGTAAGCAAACATATGATTACATTTCATCTAATTATTTTCTTTTTAATTCAAGAATACACAATTAAGTGTTTTTATTATGGACGCCTATCATGTTCCTACTTATAAAAGGATAAAAATATTTCTTTAATAACTCACCTTTAAAATTTTATATTATTATTTATTTATCTTATTTTATTTTATTTTCGTCAATGAATTAAAAAAATAATATTTTAAGATTGTTAATAGGATGTTTTGTAAAAATGGGTTGTTAAATAATTTTTTCCTTAATAAAATGGAGTGTCATATCTACACTTTAGTTTAAATTAATTCATGATGGAGAGAGATTTCCATACAAAAAATTATATATAGCATGGTTCAATTTGCCTAATAGTGATTCTAATATTAGGAATATTTGATGCTCCATTAACTCTTTACTTTTCCTTAGGTTTCATTTCATATGGTTTCTAATTAAAAGGTTAAGTCCCTTATGGAATACATGATAAACTCAACAATCACTTTCCCTGCATTATGTTACGTTAGATAATTAAGTAATAATGTTATAATGATTATTGTTTAACAAATATTAATAATTGTTTTAAATAATATATTTCTATTGTATTTTAGTAGTGCAATTATATAATTAAGTGTATCTCTTTCTTTATATTATTTTGACACGTATTTTTAAACTCATTTCTGCTACCAGTGGTATCTAAGAGCTTTAAGATTAAAAAAAAAATGACGATAGTAGGAACTAGGTCGCATGATAACATGTTAGTACTTGATAACAAGAACTTGAATGAGTATGATAGTTGGTGTGTGAAAATGAAAATTATTTTTTGTTTTTAAGAAGTCTTAGACGTAGTTCTAAGTGCATATGGGGGACAACGGGGGAATCCCATCAAGGTGTAATGTGCGACATTCTGAGAGAAAAAGAAACGAGATTGAGAAAAAGGAAGAGATTGAGAAAAAGGAAGAGGTAGAAACAATGGTAGACGAGACTCAGAAGGAAAAGAGGAAAGTTCTTCAAAATCGAGAGGTGATAGAGGTAAAAACTCACAATATAGAGGTGGTCGATCAGATTCTAGTGCGAGTAAGAAAAATGTATAATGTTATAACTATTACAAGTATGATCATTATGTTGTTGACTGTTTGAGCAAAAAAGAAAAAAGTGAATATTGCACAAAAGGAAGACTCAAAGGATAAAATACTATTAATGGTGAGCACGACGAAATCAGTGGAGACTTTCGATTAATCTTGATAGTTGGATACTGGTTGTTCGAATCATATGTCATTTTAGAAGAGTTGATTTATCGATATCGATGAGAGTGTTAGATCGAAGGTAAAATTTTCAGATAATCCAATAGTGAGTTGTGAAGGAAAAGGAAGAATAATGATCAAAAGAAAAGATGACAAATCTGCAGTAATTTCGGATGTGTTATATGTTCAAACAAAAAAATATAATTTATTGAGTATCGGTCAACTTCTTCATAAAGGATATTTGATCGATTGGAGATCGAGAGAGTAAATGTTGAGAATCCTTGATAAGAATGAGACACCAATTTTGAAGGCACCTTTAAGTAAAATTTGAGTTTTTTGAGTCAATATTCTAGTATTGAATAATTTGTGTTTTGCAGCAGCAGTCCCTGATGTCAATTGATTGTGGTATTTAAGGTACGGTCATCTTAACTTTAATAGTTTAAGCCAACTTACAAAAAAAGAGATGGTGATTGAACTGTTTCGAGTTTAAAAGTGTAAAGACATATGTGAAAGTTGCATGACAAGTAAAAAAGCTAGAAATCTCTTGAACGTGCATATCGAGATCAGAAACAAGGATGTGTTGAAAGTTATCTACACCGACATATGTAAACCTTTCAATGTTCCTTCACTGAGTTGTAACAGGTATTTTATGACATTCATAAATAACTATAACAAGAAGATGTGGGTGCACTTGCTCGAGAAGAAGACAGAGGTGTTTGGTCGTTTTATCGATTTTTAAATCGATGATCGAGAAACAATGTGGTCAAGCTATTAAATTGTTGGGATCAGACAGTAGTGGAGAATATAACAATGATAAGTTTGCATCATTTTGCAAGAAGAATAATATTTTGCATGTGATTGTACTCACATATACACTACAACACAATAGAGTTGTGGAAATAAGAAATAAAATGATTTTAAATATAGTTAGAAGTATATTGAAGACCAAAGGCTTGCCATATTTATTTTGAGCAAAAGTGGTATCGATAATCGTGTATACATTTTAAATCGATGTCCAATAAAGAGAATGAAGGGAAAAACACCATAAGAAGTATGGTCTGGGAGAAAGTCAAATATAAAACACTTGAGAATTTTTGACATGATTGCTTGGAGACATGTTCCAAATGAGAGGAAGAAGAAACTCAATGATAGAAGTTAGAAGTTGATTTTTGTAGGATATCATGTAACTGGTGCGTATAAGTTGTATGATCCTATAAAAAAGAAGATCATCATCAATAAAGATGTTGGTGTAGATGAGAAAGTTTGCTGGAAATGGTGGAAAATCGAAATGTTAGCTTTGATGATTCAAGTGATACAAAAATCAAGGCAAAGATTGATCGATTTCTAGTATTGAAGGAGGTGAAAATCGATCGATATCAGAAATTGATCAATTTCTGAAATTGAAGGAAGGAGAAATCGACCAATTAGATCGATTAAGATACCAATAAGACTCAATGATTATGTGATGAATATGATGATACTGTCATAACATCTGGATAAGATGATTAGAGAAACGATGGACAAAAATGATCTTGTATACCTAACATTATATGCTGATGTCAAGCATTGATCAATTTTCTTTGAAGAACCGATTGAGGATCTCAAGTGGATCGAAACTATAAAAGATAAGTTGTTAGCAATTGAGAAGAATAAAACATGAGAATTAACTGATATCTCAGAGAATTAAAGGTCAATTGGAGTAAAATTGGTGTACAAAACAAAATTGGAATTAGATGGAATAGTTGCAAGACATAAAGTCAGACTTGTGACGAAAAACTTTCTACAAAGGTTTAGACTACAAAAAAGTGTATACACTCGTTGCCAGGATAGAGACAATAAGAATAGTTGTAGCTCTCATCAGTTAAAAAGGGTGGGTGATGCATCAAATGAATGTAAAATCTGTTTTTTGAATTATGAATTGGAAGAAGAAGTTTATGTTACATAATGACCATTGCATTCTATAACTTGAAACAGGCCCCAATGGTTATCTTCGATAACAATAATTCTTGAAGTGTGAAGTCGATTATAGGATTTACTCGAAGATCGAAGAAAATTATGTGTTAATTGTTTGTTTATATGTCGATGATTTGTTGATTACAGATAGTAAAATTACTCTCATCGATAATTCTAAAAGGAGGATGCAAGCAGTGGCGGATTTTCTTGGAATCTGAGGGGGGTCGTGGCCCCCCCAAAGTTTTGTAACTCCCATGTAATTTATGATTTTGGTCCCCCCAAACATAATGAACATTTAATATATTTACTTGGATATTTACAATTTTATCCTCTCAACCCCTCCTCAGTTTTGTAACTCTCATATAATTTATGATTTTGTTTCCCTCAAACTTAATGATCATTTAATATATTTAAGTATATATCTACAATTTTATCTTTTCACCCTTTCATATTCTTTCTTCCTTTTATATTTATTTATTATTTATTAATAATATATTATTTGGCCCCCAAGATCGATGGTCAAGATCCGCCACTATGCAAGATTAGTTTGAGATGACCGATTTGGGGAAACCGTCATACTTTCTGAGAATGGAATTCATTGAAGG